CTGCAGCAGCCAGCTAAGATCGAGGAGCAGATTTCATCTGGTTCTGAAAATATTACAGTTAAATATACGTTTCAACATTTTTCCTCATATTTACCTTATAATTATGCAATTGTTCTTCTGGAATATCAAAATACTAAACATTCACAAACTAGTTTTCGGTCTTCATTTTGAAATTCCACTCTCCATCGAGTGTATATTAGTTTTATGTGTGCTCGCACATAGTGTTTTACTATGTACCATTAAACATGCTGTTCATTTGGGGCACACATAGTTGGCATAAGTAAGACACATGACGTTCATATGTTGGTTTTAACATTTATGTGTGGGTCGTTTTATGAAAGTTATGTGTGAAATCATATAAATAAAATCTTTGCTGTTTATCAGTGTAGTGATACTAAGAAAATAACCTTTGTATTTATTTACGAATGCCTGATTCACATCTTGGATTCACGTGGTTTTCTGGAATATTAATTAAAAGAAATTCCATTTTCTAGTAAGTTTGTCACGGAATCGATGGAAAAGAAGCTTTTCATCGTATAGGCATATTTGTTTATTCAAAACTTTATGCTAGGCAAATTCAAGAAGGATATTGAGTTTCCTTCTTCATAAATTCGATCTATGTAATTTGAATTACTGTAGTTTACAGTTACAATTGTAGACCCCAAATTTGCTTTAAACGTCCATCATTATGCACACCTTTCTGGATGTTTCGACAACGAGTTCACATGGCATCTTCTGTGGAGCAATATATCTATCTAGATAGTTTTCTATTTTATTTTCCACTCTTACCTAAAGGCTTCCGCTTGACTCTACAATTCTCCAAGTTAATCATCCAATCCAAGCTAAAATATCTCGTAGCGACCCTCACACGGTTTCGCAGCAGTTTAGGCGGATTTGTGAATTGATTCATTTGGATTGGATAATCTTAACGTCACACAACCTGAACATTTTTTTTTTAAGATTTAGCATATCTGGCTAATGTGCTGTAAATGAATTAAATTTGCATGGTTAATATTACTATCAATATATGAAAATATTACGAAAAAGATCACTCTGACAGTTGATGTTTATTAAAACAGTTTTTAATTCATATTTGTTGATGACTGTGCGACTACTTTGATCAACTTTGAGTAATCATGACCTACTCAAATTTACTCGCTGCAAAAATATTAACTCTGAGTACAGTTGGCTGACCCCTTGTGCTAAATAGAGAAACAAACTTTAATAATAATTTCTGCTGTAGTTATGATGAAAAATCTAAAAATAGGGGCAAACTTTATTTGGTGGAAAACCTGCAACATTCTGATGATAGGATAAGCAAGCCATATTGAAAATGTCTGGTGGAAAATGGAAAAAGGAAATCTGCACCAATTAGAAGATTGGAGAAGCAATTTTTATTGAACATGGTAAATTTGCATCGTTCGCATTAAATGAAAATTTCTGGTGTAAGATTTGCAACAATCTGCTGCATGGAGAGGCCTGAAGTAAAAATTGCACCGTTGTAGTGAATGGAGGGGCAAGCTTTATTGAACATTTATTGTAGAAAAACTACAACGATTTGGTGAATGGGCGGACAACTTAAACTTGATTTCCGAGAAGGACCTCAAGGGTATTGAATTCTGAGGACAGTTCTAAAAGAAAAGATTTCTTGGGATGATTCCATGAAAATTCTGCGCATAATATCTAGTGAATTCTGCAGACAGTTCCAAAATAATTTCGAAAAAAATACAGAAGGAATCAAATTTTGAATGAAATTCCAAAGGGATGTTGAGGAAAATTTCAAGGGAGTTCCGAGGATAATTTAAAGCTCATTTTGGGAAGACTTTCTGGAGAATGCATAGGAAATTCTTCTGAAGCTTTAGGGGAATTTCAGTTCCAATGTGTTCTGAGAAAAAAAAAAGTTCTTAAATATTCCCAGAAGAACCTCAAGGATATTGAATTCTTATGACAGTTCTAAAATATTTCTTGGGAGTACTCAACGAAAATTTTGCAGATAATTTTGAGTACATTTTGCTAATAGTTCAATAGACAATTTCGAAACAAATACCGAGAAAATCCAATTTTGAGTGTAATTTCTAAGGGATTTTCAGTTCCAACGTGTTCTGAGATCACGAAGAGCTCTAATTATAATTCCAGTGGACTTCTGAGAAGAATTTCAAAAGAGCTCTTAGGAGAGTTCTAAAAAAATCCGAGAAGAACCTCAAGAATATTGAATTCTGAGGACAGTGCCAAAGAATTTCTGGGGAGTATTACAAGAAAATTCTGCGTGTAATTTCTAGTGAATACTGCAGATTGCTCCTAGATAATTCCGAAAAGAATACAGAGAAAATTAAATTTTGAGTGAAATTCCAAAGGGATTTTGAGGAAAATTTCAAGGGAGTACCGATAATTTCTAGCTCATTCCAGGAACATTTTTTTTTTGAGGAAATTCTTCTTAAACTCTAAGGGAATTTCAGTTCCAAGTTGTTCTGAGTAAAAGTCAAGAAGAGTTCTAAAAATAATTCCAGCGTTCCAATTTTATTAGGTGACATTTTCTTGCCGAGAGAAAGCAGAAAGGTCTCCCGGATGAGCACCCCACCATGTGCCGCCAATTGAAAAAGTTGATCCTCTGTTGACATTTTTGCTTCAAATACGTAATATGGGTATTCCAAGTGCACTTTGAATCATATGGACAAGACTTATCCTACGGTAAAGAGTTCAGTTCAGAACTCACTCACATTCATTTTGAAATGTTGTCCTAACTTTTATATATGGACTAGATAGACAGTGGTGCTCATCCAACGGCCCACGGCTAACATATGTGGCCTGCCGAGTGAGTTTGTTCGGTCGATGGGATGCTTCAATCTGTGGATGTATACCCGCACACTGACTAAACTCTTCAAAGGTGGTTCATGTGTTTTGAGATTTCATAATTGTCATTATGCCCAGAATTTACTTTGAATCGTCCAAAGAACTTCCTGATGATTTCCTAGGAACTTGACTTAGTATTCCTTAGGTATTCTGTCTAAATTCGATGCTCTTTATAACTTTCTTTGAAATTTTTTAATCATTTCAATAGACTTCGTTTAAAAAGTTTGCTTGGAATGTTTCCAGAAGTTCTTTGATATTCTTCTTCGAATCTTTCTCATGACTCGCAAGATACTATCATTCGAATTGGAATCCGCCTTAAAATTCCTTTGAAACTATTATCAGATTGAAATTCTCTTTAGAAAACCCTCGATTTTTTTTCAAAATATCTATCGAATTTTTCATAATATACGTAGGTGTTCCAGTAATAGTGGTGTACTTATAGTTGCGGTTTGAAGGTTGTGCCGGAATAGTGAGGAGAACCCGGATAAGATTATTTTTCATCGGTAGTTGTCCTAAAATAAAGCATATTTGCATATTTCAAACTTAAAATTAGCCCAAAAATTACAGAAAATCATTAATTTTCCTTAAGATTTTCACTCCTGTGCACCTATAGTTGCGGTAGTGTTCCTATAATAGTGGAACCCATAAGAAACCAACGCCCAATGCGAAATTGATTGCTGCCAGCTCAGCAAAATAAACGGAACAAGATTCCTGAAGTTTGCGGAAGGCGCTAGAGTTTTCATTGAAGACACCGAAGACAGTGGATCCACTGAGACGAGATCCGTCTGTAAAATATCTGTTCACGCATTTGACGTGTTGGTACTTTTCAGTAAAAATACGTGGGATAATAATAGTTCGAAGTTGACCGGGAATCCTATGAGTTGCTTGTTTCATGGTCAGATCTTATTCAATTGAGTAACTGCTAATGGTGAATCCTTATATTCTTCTGTAAAAAAAAGAATTTTGGAATTTGATGCTACTACGAATGAGCCTTAATAAACACATGTTGTCTTGTCACGATGCGATAAGCAATAAGCCTGAAAGACGAATTACCTAAATACTTTACTGGTCTCCGAACTAAAATAACACACTGGAGGCAAACTTCTGCCCATGACTCCATGCTGGGAATTATAGCCATTAACCAGTTGACGAAATACTAGTTTTTACAGATGATTATCATACGCCCAGGTCTGAATAAACAGCTGCCGTTCTGTTTGATGTGTGGTCAACTCTGTACTTGGATAATCATCGGACAGAATTCCACTCCAAATAGAGTTTAGCACCTCACAGTTAGATGGTTTATGGGAGTCGCCAATATTTTAGGTAGACTTGACTTACTCCAGTCTTGACTGATAGGAAACAGTTATATCAAATCCAGCTGAAATAAACATCAGAGGTCGATCTGCGGAGAGCGGAGACATCTGCTCAACAAACTGTAAACCACAAGTTTTTTGTGGTTCCAGGATTATCTCAACATTCCATTTCGACATATTTACAGCTTCCAACTCAAGCCAACCTGGAGTGCCGGACCCAGTCTGAACTTTGTCATGAAAAATCACCTTTGATGGTATGCTCAGCTGGGCCCAAATGTCCTGTCAGCAGAGAGAAAAAATACAACCCATCATTGCCAACGCCAGACTTCATTTCTCAAACCTCAAAGCTCATTAGATTGTGTATAGCCCTAATCCAAACCGAACTGCCCACACAACCACCAGGGTTGGTAGTGTAGCAGCTGCCTAGTGACCCACCAACCCACAAAAGCCGGTTGTCATGCTGCCCTGGCCGGGAGGGAAGAGATATGTAGTTTCATATTTTATTTGTCCCTGTTCCTGTCCGGCTCTACCTTCATTGATGGTAACAATTTTATCACTGTCGGAACCTGTAGTGAAATTTACGACCCAACGAAATTTGTCAGTTTCAATTTGCGCTCTTCCTCTGCGTCGACATGGACCGAATGGTCGATGGTGGGTTTCCGGGCAGATACGTGTGTTTCTACCTAGGTACAAATGATTGCCGTGTCCGCAGGGTGCCCGACCGAACACTCACTGACTTTCCCACGTTTCCTCATCCCCAACCCATCAAACCAACCCATCCACCAACCCGCCATCCAAGCGAAAAACCAAACATTATCATTATCTAATTACTTCTAGAGGCTCAACAAATTAAACTACCGCCAAACGGAACTGCGATCGGTATCCACATGCGTTCGAACGCGGCGGCCACCCTCGGCAGGCCGCAATCCTGTAGTAATAGTTCACCGGAACAGCACCGGCTGCCACTTCACTCGTCATCATCGACATCGATGCAGCATCCGGGTGGGGTCGCGCCGCCACCTCCCAGCATCGCCGCCCACCAACACTCGCATCAGCATCATTCGCATTCGCATTCTCACTCACAGCAGCAACAACAGCAGCAGCAGCAGCATGATCCCGGGACACAACTACAAAATCTCAAAGGGCAGCAGCAACAGCAACTGCCCCAAGCGGCCATGAGTGAAATGCGTGTTTGATTGCATTTTGCCTCCTCCTGCCCTGACTGACAACGACAACGAGGACAACTTCCGATGACGGCAGTGATGGATGATGACTACCATGACGACGGTGGCGACGGCCACCATGACGACGGCTACTACTACTACTACGGTGATGATGGTGAAATTGTTTAATGTTTTATTTGTAATGCCCACGGGCAGCAGTGACCCCGTCCCCCGCCCCCCTCGTGGAGGAAAGTAATGGGCGGACACGGTGGGCTTTCATTACTGCAACTTCCTGGTGCTCTTTTCATTGTTCATCTAATACACGCTCTATCACACTCACATACACACCCATTTCCGAACTCTTGTTGATTGATTATTGGTGTTTGTTAAATGGGGGGAAAAACGGGTCAATGTGCAAGTGGGATAGGTGGACAGTGGGATAAGGAGGTCAAAATGTGGTCACATTTATATCCGAAAGAAGTGGAAGTCAGTGTTCTCATTTAGATAACAGCCAAGAGGTAAATAGTTGAAATGATGAGGCATTTTGGTTCTTCAAATTATCCTGGAGTTAAGAACTTGAAGTTCTGAAGACTCAACACGGTAATCTACGATGACTACAATGATTTTTGGAGCTCCATAATTTCAAAGTGGTAATGACAAAGTATTTTAGGGTCTTCAAATTAGCCTGAAGTTCAGTTCTTGAACAGGCTTAACAAAGTTTGAATTAATTTGACATACAAAACCGTAGAGCTTCATCATTAGAGATAAATAGTGGTGCTCCGAAAATATCCTTGAGTCTCCAAAGCATCCAAAACTTTAGATCTTGATGATTTACCGGACTCATTGAGGTATTGTTGATTGTCCTGACTAATCTGTGAAAAAGTATGAGAATGAGATAGCGGCCACTGGAACCTCCAACCGGGAGTTCGTAAATCGAATCCCTGCGTAAAACGTTTTTATTTTGGATTAACTTTGTGAAAAAAAAAAGTTTTTTTGGTAACATTATCAAATTTCACACAATATGGGTATTTTTGGAATCGAAGTGACATGTGGAGATTGGAAATCCATGTCTGACGCCTTTTTAAAATCCAAGTTTTAAGATTTTAATTGATTTTTCTCATGTACTCCATCTTTTCTAATTCTGATCATTTTTTTAAAGAAGGACAGACTACAACTCGTTATAACATTCCAAGATAGGAAAAAAGTTAGACCATGAAAACTTTTTCGTTTTCGCACTGAATGAAATTTTACAATATGAAAGCGAATAAATTTCACCCAGACCTCTGGTGCAAAGCTTTGGACTACTAAAGCAAGTTAAGCCAAGTGTACATTTTTGTTTCAGTGCAGAAATGAGAAATTTCCATTTTTTCACGAATAACTTTTTTCCTGTTAAAGTTCCCATCTTGGAATGTATGAACGAATTTTTGATAAATAGTCTGTCTTTCTGTACAAAAAATAATCAGAATTTAAAAACGAGTGTGTTGAGGAAAATCAATTTAGAACTTTAAAACATTTGTTTTACAGTGTAGGAATGTGTTTTTTTTTTATTGATTTCCTTTTAAAACTCAAGAAATGTTCTACAACTCATTTCTTTGTTAAATTTATTTTGTTGATGAAAAAGCTAAAAAATAACTTATTTGAAAATCGTCAATTACAAAAAAAAAACAATGTTAAATAATATTTTTCTTGTGAAAGTGCTCAACTTGGGATGTAAGAACGAATTCCAGATAAATAGCCTGTCTTTCTGTGAAAACAGTTTCAGATTAAAAAAAATAAGTATTTTCGGAGTAATTTGAGATTTGGGTGCAATTTCATTTGTAAACAAACACGTAAATCGCCGATTTTTCACGAATAACTCATACGGAAATAAATAAAAATTGTTCTAAGATGAAGCAAATTCATATAAGAAGACTTCAGAAGAGAACAAAACATGCACGTTTCTAATTTCAGAGTTTTGTATGACTTAACACATAAAATTTAAATGATGTTATATAATTCTTATAAAAAATACTTTTAATGAGCAGCGAGGTAATTTGAAAGTAATTTCAATAAATTTGTTTAATTTTTCATGAAAATATCCCTTTTTCTTAAATTAGTTGTGATTCCCCATTTACAAATGTGTATTTTTTATGTGGAATCCGCCATCTTGAAATTCAAAATGGTGTCGTACATCCAAAAATACCCAAATTACGGGGAATTTACAATATTTTTTTTTTCAAAGTTTTTCTGTAACCACAAGCTGCCACATTAGATTTCAAAATCAAAATCAAAATTTCCAGTCCGTACACGTCACCCCAATCCAAAAATACCCATATTGTTAGGTCTTTAATGTATTTTCAAGTTTTGATGTATCAAAATGGAGTCAGACATCGATTTCCGATTTCTACACGTCACCCCGATTCCAGAAATGTCAATAGTGTGGGGTATTCGACAGTGTTTTCCATTTTTATCTGAAACAGGAAATCATCATCTTGAATTTCAAAATGGTGTCAGCCCCGATTCCAAAAATGCCAATTTGATAGTGTTTCCAAGTTGTTTTCTAACCGTAAGCCGCCATCTTGCATTTCAAAATGGTGTCAAACATGAATTTCCAATCCATACACGTCCACGCAATTTCAAAAATTCGATTATTGTGGGGTATTTGAGAGTATTTCCCAGTTTTTCCAAAACGGAAGCTGCCATCTTAGATTTCCAAAAGGGCGTCAGACATCTATTTCTGGCTCCTACAATACCTATATTTATGGGTATTTGGCAGTATTTCTGGTCCTGATCCTGGGCTGGCACTATTTCTGGTTCGTACACGGCTCCACGATTTCTAAAATACACATACTGTGGGTTATTTGACAGTATTTCCCAGTTTTTTCCAAAACCGGAAGCCACCCCAACAAACAATTTTAGCTGCAGCTAAGCTTATACAGGCAAAAATTAGCTGCATAAGGCAAATTTTGGCTGTATAAGCTAATCTGCAGCTAAAATTGTTTGTTGGGACCATCTTGGATTTCAAAATGGCATCAGACATCTATTTCCGGCTCCTACATACAACTCCGATTTCAAAAGTACCCATATTGCGGGGTATTTGACAGTGTTTAGCAGTTGTTCTGTGCCTGGAAGCCGCCATCTTGCATTTTAAAATGGTGTCAGACATTGGTTACCGGTCCCTACACTTCACCCCGATTTAAAAAAAATTCCTATATTGTGGGGTGTTTGACAGTATTTCCAAGTTTTTCTCTGACCAGATGGATTGGTTTTCAAAATAGCCGTTACCGGTTCCTACATGCCACTCCGATTTCAAAATATTGGTATTTCAAAATATTTTCCAGTTTTTCTGTAACCGGAAGCCACCATCTTGAATTTCAAAATGATTTCAAACATGGATTTCCTATCCATACACGTCAATCCATTCCCGAAAATACACATACTGTGGGGTATTTGACAGTATTTCTCAGTTTTTCCAAAACGAAAGCTGCCATCTTGAATTTCCAAAACGCTGTCGGACATGTATTTTTGGCTCCTACATACCACTCCGATTCCAAAAGTACCTATATATTACGGGATGTGACAGTGACAGTGGTTACCCATGGTTCTGTATCCGGAAGCCATCATTTCGGTAACCGGTCCCTACACTTAACCCCGATTCCAAAAGTACCCATATTGTGGGATATTTGACTGTAATCCAAGTTTTTCGAAAACCGGATGCTGCCATCTTGAATTTCAAAATAGCGTCAGACATCGATATCCGGTCCCTACACGTCTCCAAGATTCCTAACATTCACATACTGTGGGATATTTGACAGTATTTCCCAGTTTTTCCGAAACCGGAACCCCAAGTTAACTTGGATTTCAAAATGGCGCCCGACATCTATTTCCGGCTTCTACATACCACTACGATTCCAAAAGTCGCTACCAACATTTTTACCACCTCTACCATACTGTTTCAATGATGCTCCTCCTGCACCAGTCAGTATAGGTACTGCTAGCCGAGCTATTTCTTGTCTTCGTCCTATGGATGTTTTTCTTCGTCCTGTTTGTGTTCCCCGTTCTGCTGGTGTTGTGCTAGATGCTGTAGGGTGTCCGGCCATTTGGCCGAATGCCGTTTGGCCGAATGCCGTTTGGCCGAATGCCGTTTGGCCGAATGCCGTTTGGCCGAATGCCGAAAGAGATTTCCAATTTCTGAACACTACTGGAACCTAAATGGCAGTCCTGTGGACTTTTGTTTTACTTTCCACAATTATGTTATTATAATATGGTATTATAAATATGGGATTTTCGGTTAAATTGTATATTGTATAAAACTAAAAATTTCATACTGTCGATGAATTATTTATGCTTATAACGATGATCTTTTAGTTATGCAATTAGTATTTTTTTTAGCCAAATCAGACAGACAAATCAGAGTTTAATAAAAATATGAGATTTTTCCTTCTTTCAAACATGAGATGTTCTTTTGAGTTTTGTTGTTCGGCATTCGGCCAAACAGCATTCGGTCAAACGACCCAATCGGCCAAATAATATTCGGCCAAATGACCCGGATCCCTGTTGTCATTCCGTGTCCCTTTGTCTTACATACAGGCTTGCAATTGCTCATTACAGCTAAAATGCTATTTTTCGTAATTATGAAACTATGAGATACTATAATGGTAATATGTATTTGTAAGAAGCAAGAATAGGTGGTAAAGTTTGTGTATGACATAAATTTTTTGTCAATTTTGCTTTCAGAAGGTCACAGCTAGCGATGGTATGATCGCTGATTGCTCGCTCATCACGTTGCTCATCGTTACAGTTAATCACTATTGTGACCCTCAGAATGCTAAATTGACAGGTTTTATATGTGATACACACACTTTACCTGCTCTACTTGCATCTTATAAATAAGAATTATCATTAAAATATTTCATAGCTTCATAAATCCGAAAAATAGCATTTTAGCTGTAATGAGCGTTTGCAAGCTTGCTTACATAAAGATAATTTATTTTTATTCCAGTCATAGAATATTTTTCCCTTCCTAGTGAAGAAATTCAGTAAGGAGGAAATCTTCTTTTTCATATTCATGTATACATGTGTACATGTTGAAGCCAACTTTGCAAGGAATTTCTCCCCGAAGACGCGATTAGCTTTCCCGTATTTCACTAACGCGGTCAGGATCGCTGTCAGAATCGCTGTCAGAATCGCTGTCAGAATCGCTGTCAGGATCGCGGTCAAAATCGTGGTCATAATCACGGTCAAAATCGCGGCCAGGATCGCGGTCAGGATCGCAGTCAGGATCGCGGTCAGGATCGCGGTCAGGATCGCGGTTCAGGATCGCGGTCAGGATCGCGGTCAGGATCGCGGTCAGGATCGCGGTCAGGATCGCGATCAGGATCGCGGTCAGGATCGCGGTCAGGATCGCGGTCAGGATCGCGGTCAGGATCGCGGTCAGGATCCCGTTCTGGATCGCGGTCAGGATCGCGGTCAGGATCGCGGTCAGAATCGCGGTCAGGATCGCGGTCAGGATCGCGGTCAGGAACGTC